AAAAGGTTCACATACTTTTTCTTGCAACTGTAAATGAACATACAGCCCAATTTTGCATTATGTCTGACATATTTACCAAAATCATTAATTGATGAAGAGTACCGCATTGTTGTTTTCATTTAGAAAAGTGTGATAACTTCGTTAACACAATTTCTAATGCCCCATATTAAGTTATAAATAGATTTACATGAAAAAATATTTCTTTACACATATAAAACTTTTTGTAAAAAAAAAAAATTGCATTGTTACAGGATCTGTCTTGGCCTGGGTTAGCGGTCGGCAATATCTTTCGGCGTCCTCGAGCAACTGTTCTTGTTACTGTAACAGGGATAGACAAGCTAACACTGCCTAAGAATGGAGTATCTTACCCAGTTGAGAATGTAAGTATATTATAGGTTCCAGTGTCTGTACTAGCAGCAGAACTTCTGTAAATGAGAACAGGGGAGTATTGCTTTAAGATTGCATGCTTCTGTTGTGAATTGGTGTACAGACACAAAATGCAGACTTTGGTAGGCAAATAGAAGATACTAACATTTTTCTTTCTCTTGGAACATTCAGAATATTTGTATTTCATTAAATTTATACAGCAATTCTTTCTAGAAGCTCTGTATGGAAGTTATGTTGATATTTCTGTCTGAGGCGAAGGATGCACAGAACTTTCTCTTTCTTTTTATATTATCAGCTATAGGAACTAAGGAAGGAATTTTTTTCTTGATCTTGATAAGTATTTTTGCTTTCTTGCTCTTCCCATTTGTCTTAGTATAAACTACTTGTGTTTTGGAACAAAGGGGAGGAATATAGGAAATGTATGCCATTTCAATACTGAAGTATAAGATCAAAACTGCACATGGAAATATTGTAATAAATTAAGGTTAGACAGCCCAGATGCTTTGCATTTCAGTTTCCAGGAACCCCAGCAAGCATGATCAATGGCAGGGGATAAGAACTGTAGTTCAGAACATTTGGAAAGTACTCTGTTAGACTAGGATACTCTTAAGTACTCTGCAATAAATCAAAGGGAAAAAGTTAGATAGGAGATATATACAAGCTAAAGCCTATTCAAATAATAGGTTTTTATCTGAATAAAGTTTCAGTTTCTTCCTTTAAAACTATAAAACTGATATCTTTAGATTACAGAATAATAATTACTGCTTAAATGGAAATATTTAGATGCCATTAGAAAGTAAAACTTCATGAAAACACTAGTTTGTGTAATTTGGGCATGATTATTAGTTCTATAATCTGCATCAACTTTGATCTGAATGTTAGTACACCTTAATCTTCATTACCTTATTGGAATATGTATTATTCCTCATTGTTAGTTGTTCTTCAGTTCCATCAAAATAAGTTGCCTCGAGATTCTGAAATCTTCATTATTGCCCATGAAAGAAATGTTTAGCTAATCTTGATAAAATAATCCTCGGATAATCCTAATGAAAATATAACTAATGTTTGCACTCCTTACTTCTGATAATTATAACTTTATGCATCTTAGGGTTTAATGTAATCCATTTAATAGTGGTTCTAGAACTATGTATTTCTTTAATTTGGGGAAAGCTAGCTATTACATGGAATTAAAAGTCTTCATAAACGTATTTCATGTAGGTTTTTGTTTTCCTGGATGCAATACAAAAGCAGTGGTAAATACCAGAAGTTATTATTTTCCTAATTTGTCTATAGATTTCAATCACAATATTTCATTGATCATTTTATTTTAGGCAGTTCCTTTCAGCCTGGATGGTGTTGCAAATTCAATACATACTTTGTTTTCTGAGGAAACCCCAGTAGTTGTCCAACTAGCTCCTAGTGAAGAAGTAAGTTCCATATATATATATATTTTTTAACAAAAACATCAAAAATTAAATCGTGCCCTGTGCATGCTTCTAGGCAGAGATTTTTCTTAGAACTTTCAATATTGGGAAAGAGTTGGTTGAAGACTCTTATAACAATGCAGGATTCCCTGTCACAATGTACAATGATGGTTCTTTCAGAGAGTTTATATGGTGGGAAAAGCAAATTCTGTATTCGAAGATCTTTCTGTCACACTGCGGCAGCTTCGGAATAGACTTTTCCAGGATAACTCCATTCTTGCTTCCCTTCCTCTCAACTCATTGAGCAGAAACAATGAGGTAAGGCAAGACTCATTCAAATTATCTTGCTTGACCACTATTTTTAATTAATGCTTTGTATGTTATGCAGTCACATTTAGTCAAATCTATATTCTAGGCAAGATGTGTTTTAGGACATGATCTGTTAATAGATTATTTCAGTTGTACATTAAGTGATTGGTTTGTTAAGAGATTGTATGGTTAAGTCCAGCATGTGCTAGCTATGCTAAATTAATGTCAGAATTGGCTTTGAATATTTTTATTATAAATCAAAATGCTTTTTCAGTTCACCTTTTTGTGTGTGTGTTTGTTTTCTATATATTTATGTATGTATTTATTTCTTAGGTTGATCTGCTCTTCCTGTCAGAATTGCAAGTTTTGCATGATATCACAAGCTTGGTAAGCAAATTCTGCAAACAAAATTCTACTATGCGTTCTTCAACTGGTAGGTCCGTTGTCAGAACCTAGGCACAGGAAGGCTGGTATTTTACTCATGGCATAGTGCTAGTGCCACTATGTAATTTTTCTGACTGTATAATTCTTCAGATGGCTTAGAGAGTCTTAAATTGGAAAGAAGAGAAAATGTGTAGTTTATTGGCTAAACTGGACTTCTTGATAAATTCCTGGAGAAGCAGAATAGGGAATTAAAAGCATCAGCATGTTGCAACACTTTCACCAAAATGCAGTGTAATGTTGCCTCTTTTGTATATATAGATGATGTCATGGTGCATGTACGAAAGGGCCAGAGCTTATGTTGGATCATTGCAACAGTGCTTCTGTCATTAGTGCCCACTAGATACCTCCACCCCTGTGTAGATGTGTCTGTAGGGTACAGATCCTAGAAAATGTTTCCCTAAAATAGTTTTAAAAAATACTGTTTTCTAAAATTGAAATGCTTGCTTTTCACTTTAGCATCCTATCAACAGTTTTTACCTATTGCTTCCTAAGCTTTCTAGGCACAAACATCTGGCCAAGGATCATTCGCCAGATCTATATTCTCTAGAACTTTCTGGGTTGGAAGAAATAGGTAAAAGGTATGGGGAAGATTCACAGCAATTCAAGGATGCTTCTCAGATTCTTGCAGACTCTCTGCAAAAGGTAAGCAGAGCAAAAATGCTGGTAAATAATTTAACTTTTTCTTAACTCAAAGGAATACTTCTATACAGAAAGAAGTATGAATAGATTATGCAGTACTTTATTGCTGGTACCTGTTTCGCTTTTTTCAAATGAAAATTTCTTCAGGCTTACAGTTGTTAGCCAAATCAAGATATAGTTTATCTTGACTATGAAGACTATTTTATAGTCTTCAATCATAGATATTTAAATCATTACTGAATTAGAGTTCTTAAAGGAGTAGTAAACGACGGAAAATTGCAAGTTAATTGTTATAGTTAATCATACTATACTATAACTGATCCTTGAAACTGGCCATTTTAAAAATGGGACTAGTATGGCAATCCAGAGACTTCATGTCAGTTTATTTTCTTTTCCCACTAGAAGTTTATTATAGCTTTATTAGGAATTGGTGTTGAAAAGTTCCAGAATCATTCAAGGAATACTAAAAATATCTCTCTGCATATGTGTAGATTTGAGAAATACCTGGGGCTGGGTATAGAATGTGAAATGGCATGCCTTGTGGTTCTTAAATGCCCACACTACAGTCTGAAATAAAATACCTGAGAACATTTCCATTAAAAATGTAACAGATATTTGCAAGTAATTAATCTCAGTTGCTACTTTGGTCAGAACTTTGTGCTGAAATTGGTAAGTAAGCTGTGATAATTGTTCTGTTGATACTAAAGTTTCTGTTGTCAATAATATTAGAATGATGCGCCTTTTCTCATCTGTATCTAATTCAGTTGGCAAATTCTGAATTTTGGACTGTTTTCAGTTTGCAGATGAGATGTACAACCTCTACAGTGGGAATGCAGTGGTAGAAGTGGTGACTGTGAAGACTTTTGACACTCCCTTTGTGAGAAAGTCCAGATCTATTCTACAGTCCTCAGAGGTTATACAAACTTTAGCATTTCTTTTGGTAGTTTGACAGTAAATCTTTACTTGAAAATCTTATGTATTTCTGTGGAATAACTAAACAGAAGAATGCAGTGTATGAATGATAACCTGTTTAACTTTGCTTTTTTTCTTTATTTTTTTCAGCCACTCAATGCATAAATCTTGGAATTAAAAAGCAATAATTTTAAATATACTTGAGTATAGCTACTTCAGTCTCAGATTAATATGATGCAAGAGTGGAATAACCTATTTGGCTATAATTTCTATTTTGCATATTGTACATTTTTTTGTAACTTAAGGACATGGTAGAAACCATACTGTATTATTAGACACGATATCTATAATGTTTTTCTTAGTAGGAAAAAGAGCCAGCTGTTGATCTCTCAATTTTGAACCTCAGAAATTAGGAAAACACCCATTTGATTTATTGAAATTCTTTGTCACTAGATTTCCAAATTGCTTCTGTGAGGCTTAAAGCAAATCTAAAGATAGTATAAAATCTTAGATTACTGATGAACCTATAAAATATACATACATACCTGTTATTTTCCAAGCTTTTTTGTTGAAAATTTTCATTAGCTGCAAGCACACCCCTAATTCCATGAATTGTGCTGGCGTGTAAAGATTTTTTGTTTTTCTGTTCAAAAATACCTCAATAGGCCTGAGCACTGGGCTAATCCAACAGGTTGATGTTTAGCAGTGGGAAGTATAAGACCCTGAATCTGGGTAGAAAAAAATTCAGATGCATAGGAACATAGTTTGGGACACTTGGCTTTATGACAGTGCATATGAGAAGGATCTGGGAGTGCTAGTGGTCCATCAGTTGAGTATGAGTAAGCAATATCCAACTGATACTTGCTTAATTATTTAATAGGAATAAACTTACACTAAATAAATTGTACTGGGTTTTACAGTTAATCTTCCAGAATATTCCTTGTGTTTCTTTAATGCCATTTATGATTTATTGTGTATACTTATTCATTTGTCCTCTCCTTGTTATAGAGCAAGCCTGAAAATCCATATAATCTAGGATATGCATACAACTTTAACTATGCTGTTGTCTTCAATATAATTTTCTGGATTATGATTGGACTTGCCATAGCTGTGATTGTCATCTCCTACAATCTCTGGAATATGGATCCAGGCTATGACAGCATCATTTATAGAATGACCAACCAGAAAATTAGAATGGATTGATCTTTAGATGCAAACCTAAGAGGAGAAATGCTTCATCAGTATTTTGGCAGCATTCAATATGGACTCTTCATAGTGTGAATATTTTTACGAAGTACCCATTTGTGTTTTGTGAGGATATATTAAAGTTTAGTAGTGGGTATGGTCAACATGCAGAGTTGAAAATGAGCAGTACTACACAACCATGAGCTAGTTCCTATTGAATATATATAACATTCTACTTTGTGACCGTGCAGTGTGCATTTTGCTTTAGGGATGCTTCTTTATATTGCTTATGACTAATGTATAAATATACTGAAATATTCTAACACTTTTCTTACACTGGAAGTTTAGGATGTTCTCTTAATTTATGTTGTAGATGAACAAAATAATTTATGATGTAAATAATTCAAATCATAGGATTTTAATCCTAGTAAGGCTGATTATTCAATGTAAAAGTTCCTTTAAGCAGAGGTATCTTTTTAAAATACAACCTTGCTGTACATGTGTGTATATCTATCCTAATTCAAAGTGACTGTGTTTCTTAAAGTTCTGAAATTATTTGAAAGAAGAAAAATACATATTGGTACAGCAGCAGTATTAGAAATTGCAGTAATGTAGAATCTTCTGGTATTAAGTCACTGGATTGTATCAATAGTCTCTGCTTTATGAATAGTGAATTCTGTTGAAAACTTCAGTTATATTCTACATTCTTCTATAACGTGCTCAGTTAGTAAATGGTACATAGTGGCCTGGGTTCTTTGTCTCTGACAAGTACTTATTTCAGTTCTTGACATATGCTGAAGAAACAAAAAGGGTGAAATTTGAGTGGAATGTTGTATTCACAGGCATCACATGCTAGGTATAACCATAGCACTGAAGATTATATAGGCCTTGACATCAAGTAGAATCTGCTTGCAGTGCAAAATTAATATTAAAACAAATGTAATGGCTTGAGATCTGTTTTATGTATTTGAAAGCTAGTTGTTATGGTACAATTGCACAGATTCATTCACTGTGAGGAACTAAATAGATATGCTATTATAGAGAGTATAATATATTTAGCATAGAGGGTCAACAAACACTCCATCTATAAATGTACTTAATATGTTATACTAGTATATACATTAACATCCTTTAATTTAGGAGGTTTATTATCTTGGTATATTAATTGATATTCAACTGCTATAATAGGGATATCAGAGTTTCTTCTAGATCTTGTAGCTGGCACTAGTATGCCAGGACTTGGTTATTTATGTTCTAGTTAAACTATGACAGGTATGTTTTCAGTGAATGTAAACACTGATCTGATATAGGTGAAAAATTCCCCATATGCATATGACTGAAAATACTTGAATTCCAGTTCCAGCAGGGAGAATCTTTCCCACTGTAGAAATAGATGTTTAATTTATTTTTCTTTATTGTTTTGCTTTAGCTATATGTATAGAATGGTGAATGATAATTTGTTTCTGATGAAGCTGATGTCTTATTGTCTTTAAAATTCCTCACAGTAATTACTGGAAGCATGAGGGGGTTGGACTGCAGATCTGAAATTAATCTGAAGCTTGAGAAAACCAATAAATAATATTTAATCTTAAACTGATGTACTTAAATGAGTTCCAGTTAGAAAACAGTCGATTATGGGCATGATACAGTCAAGAATTAGGCACTGGTTTCTCTGTAGTTGTGTTCAGTTTATAAATTTTTCAATATTGATACGAATAAAAAGCTTTGTTAGTGATGATGTCTATATATTTGGTTCTAATAATTCATCTAGAGTGACAGTATAAGATTTTGAATGAGACTTGAATTAAAAGAAATACACATTTAAGCCACATTTGAAATAAGTAATACAATTTCATCATTAATGGGTCAAGTAAGTTAATATATGTGCTTTATAGCCTTTGAATCTTCATACAAGATACTACTTAGTTATGTTACTGAAACAAATGAGAGATCAGTTTTGCCCTAATACTGTCTTGATACACCTGACAGCAAATTATTATCAACTTAGGCTAAATTATAAAGGAATGTTTGAAAGAACAAGATACAATCATTCATATTCAAGTGCTTTAGTTTTACAGTTGAAGTTTGCAGAATTTCATCAATTCTTGCTCCTCTAAATCCTAATCCTATACTGTAATAAAATCTTTTGAAATGTCTGCTTGTGACTTTCAAATAATCATGTATGCCTGATGGGATGTTTAATTTTTAACTTTCTGAATTAATATGTGATCTTATATAGCACATCTGTTACTGGTATTATTCATTAGAATAATGAACCTAAGACATCTTTTTTTTAAAAAAAAACCAGCAACATGTTCTTCTATATTCATTCCGAGGCAATCTTAAAGTAAGGGTATATCACTTATGTTCTGCATAATTATCCAATACTGAAATCCTTTTCCTGTCCATTTGGGAAAAGGTACTGCTGAATTCAAGAGGGTTTATTCCTATATAGGTGTGGAGAGAATTGGAGCCCTTTACCTAATAGGTAATACTTTTAAGTTTCAATAGACCTTTCAGAAAACAGAGAAACATATGTAATTACTGAGCCTGTTGCTAACTTTTGTTTGTTTAAATTTATTGGCTGCCCAATTCTAGTGGACTCTTGGGTTTTCTTGGGTTCATAATAAATACTGTCAGGTTCCAAATAAAAAATACAGACAGACTGCAATTCTCTATGCACTTTAATTAATTAATTAATTAATTAAAGCAGCCCCTTTAAACTTTGAGGCTTATTTCTGAATAAGCCTCCAAGATGTACTAATCTCCTAGTAGAACATCTTCCATTTCTGTTCCATAATGCAGACGATAAAATGTTTCCAAAATGGATTGTTTCATTTTGTTGGAGTAATAGTTCCTTGAAACTGGAATTTCCACTGCTGAATATTGCTAATATAAATATATTGAACCACAAGGCACTTAGAAATGAAACAAAACTATTTTACCTGCATAAAAAGTTTGTAAAAAATAATTTAATGATAGTTCTAGAACTAGAACGTTTCCCATTAGAATTAAATTGTAAGATATTTCATTTTGATATAGTTCAATCTAAAACAGAAGAAGAGCTATCATAACTTTTTCCTAATGCTGACTTTTTCATCCTCCCAAAGAAGTGCTGCAGAACCTGCTTCCAGTTGTCTTCACGTGTACAAACATCCAGAGACAGTTGGAACCATCTTCTGAAGAAGCTATACAAGCCAAAAAGGGGGCTTTCAACCATGTAAAAAAGAGCATTCCGAAGCATTTCCTTCAAAGTATTAGCATCATCCTATTATTTTCAATAGCACAAAAAGAGTATTTTTCCTCTGCATTTTACGTAGCTTTGTACACTCTATTTGATGGGCTTCAAATATTGTTCAAGTGAGTATATTTCATTAGTTTGTGTACAGCTGCTTGGAGAAAAACTACGATCATAGCATCTGACAAAATTTAGAAAAAGTTTTGAGATTTTTGAATACACAGCATACAGAATTCTGGCAAATATGGTTTCTCATTGGCTGACCTGATGCAAGAACAATCAGTGTTCAGGGAAACACTGAAGCATAAACAGCTGTAAGAAAAGGAAGTTGGATAAGAAGGCTAAAATAAAATTGCTGAGTAGGCAGTGAATTAAGGAGAAATTGAAAGAGACAAATTAGAAACAATGCTTGAAGGAAATGACATAAAGGATTTCTGTTGAAATTTCACTGTTTATGATGGACTATATACAGGAAGAAATGCTGGAAAGTTGGCCAAGAGAAAATGGTTCAAAGAAATAGGACATAGTAACTAGGTTTGGGCATTGTATTAAGCCATTATTTTAAACCATAGTTTACAAACCAATGGTTGCAGATATGCTAACCCCATATTACATTGTGAATAATGCTATATGTGAACTCAGCCGTAGTAATTTGGTTTTGTGTTTATAGTTTAGTATATGTACCAGGCCAATTTAACTTATTCTATAAATCAGTTAAAAAAGACTTAACACGGTGTAAGAACCCAATCAGTAAGCGCTGATCTGAAATGCAGGAATCTCAGGAAATTATGGAGATGACATGTAATGCAACTGGAGTGGTGCCCTGCTGGAAAATGGAAAAGGGCTTGCAAAGGCAAGCAGAAGGTCTGGAGACTGTTGGCCAGGCAAAGACAGGTATGAAGAAGGTGTTCTGTCTTGAGGTGTTACTTCTAAGAATAGTATAGCATGAGAATTGTTAGTTGTACTCTCACTTTCATTCATCACTGGCAC